AATAAATCTGATTTTACCCAATTCTGTTTAACTGTAACCTGCTCCTAATTGTTTAAAACGATCTAGAAATGACAATAGGATATCCTAGCTGAAATTTTCATGACTTAAGAACAATGGCAATAGAAAGGTCAGTCTTTTCTTTCACATCTAACTAATGCCAATTCCACAAATTAAGGGAAATGCACCTTAAAAAAACTTGCTGCAAACCAGGACAGATGTTCTGCAGGTCAACTTGGCCAAACTCTGAACTGGGGTTTGCATCAGCATTACTTTTAATATTCGTCATCGGATTCTTTTTTCAAGGGTGCCTTATTACTTTTAAAATCTTTTGATCCCAATTCATGGCTTGAAAAAAGAACACACTTTTTGTTTAAAATGTTTCTGAATATTTTAATCTGATTTCTTCTAACATTTTGTATCATGATAAACACAGGAAAATATATTAAAAAACATGTTCATTATTGATATTAGTTGTCTATCACAGGCAGGAACATAATTTTGTACTACTATTTCTTCAAGTACTTTGAAGCTTTATAACTCTGGGGGAAAAACAGTTACAGGAACTCCACACAATCACCATAATTTTTTTGTTTTAAATCATAACCTCATCAAAAAGAAGTTCAAGCTTCTTGGCCCAAGTATTGGTCCAGAAGCTACAGAGTTATAATTCTGCACCTTAAAATATCTTTTAGCTCTAGCATGGATTAAGAGAATAATTTAACAATGGCTTGAAAGCCAGCCCACAGAAGCTTTGACAGGTACATTTATGCATTCTCAGATTTGAAAATTATGTGGAAACAGCCCTAATAAGTAGTTTGTCTACAGATTTCCCATTAATTTAGACTTCCAACAAAAATGGAGCTTCATCTTTACCATAACTTTACACTCCATAATAACCATTTAACATATCATTGTTCTTATTTGATATATACATTATTCTCATATTATATGTAACAAAGAAACCAAACATTCTTCTGCTGGTGCATGAATGAGCCACAACTACAAATTTAACATTACAGCAGAAAACACTGATCAGATTTCACATTTTATATCCAGGCTGCTACCAAGGGACATCATAGTAGGAGCCAAAGGAGGATAAAGTTCAGTACATCCCCTTATAGCTAAAAGCTTTACTAATATATTCATGGCAAAGACATAAAAAAATAAAAATCCAGTATAGAACCTAGAAATTCCTGGTGTGTGAAGCTGTCAGCCTGTTTTGAGAGAATGCTTGTATTGGCCACTTGAATCTCAGGCAACGTGTCTTTGCTGAAGAGAGGATGTGGTATATGATGCACTTCTCATGGACAGTGGATTAGTAAAATGCAACCCCAATTAGTGTGTACAGGTTTCCAATTAATTTTGGGGTGAGTGCGTAGGTGTTACTTCTGATCTGTAGCCTATGGAAGCAATCTGCTCTAGAAACAGACAAATTATGTCCTGAACCTCAAAAGGTGTTTCATGCTCCAAGACTATACTGGGGCAATGTCTATTCACTGTGTCTTTTGACTGTGCTTTCTTCTCCTGTACTAGACTTTCTGTTGCCTAGGTAAGCATAGCTGAAACAAAAAAAATGACTACTCTTGAAGAATGGTACACTGGAATAGTACACTAATATGGAAACTGCAAGAATTTAGTTCGTTTAATACATGATAAAAAATAATGGATTTGTGAGTCATAAGCCATCTTCAAAACTGGAATGAACACATATTGACAAACAAAGCCTGAATGTGTGGACCTATAGCGAATACTGTAATCTCTTCTGCTTTCCTGAGGCTTTCTTCAAGCAGTTTTGGAACTATTTTTTTCAGAGAGGAAAGGTTTTATTGCAAGCAACTCAGTAGGGTTCATCTTGCAGATGCTTAGGAAAAGCTGTTTTTTAAAAAAAAAATCCCACAACAAAACCCAAACACACCTAGAGTCTGAAAGACACATGCAATGCATAGACATAATAAAAACAAATACTTAGCATATCTGAAAGCATTATAAACAATAATTCACTACACACAAAATGTGAACAACAATTTAAGCTCTCAGATTTATATGTTTATATTCTAATGAGTTAACTCATTCTGGATGTTTTGACTTCACAGCGCAAATTTCTTTGAGGGTATTTCTAAAGATAAAACTGATGCTTATCCAAGGTCACAAAACATTAAAATTTAAATCTGATTTGTGAACTGCACAAGCTTACACAAGCCAAATAAGATGATAATCATTCGGTTGAGGATCCATTAGTGAGTCATCTAATCCATTCCCTTGTATCGTGACAGGATTGATTTCATTACCAGCTTTGATAGATGAGTGTCAAATCTAGCCTTGAATTTTTCATTGAAGGTGATTCTGTAACCTTCCCTGGCAGTTTGTTTTATACTTATTGTTCCTAGAATTGTTAAGTATTTTAACTCAACATTGTACCTGCAATTATGGCTTAAGCCTATCACCTGTATTTATACTCTTACAGTCACTTAGGAAAAATCTACCTCTTCACATTTTCATAGTGCCTTTTGGTGACCTTGCATGCAATAGTGATTCCTGTCCTTTTTTCACTTTTCTCTACAAGAGCACACTAACTCTGTTCCCTAATCATATATACAAATCTTTAAGGAAGTTTAATATGCTTTCTGATTTCTTAAATCTGTTTAAGATAGCTTAGGAGAGATGGTAATTTCTGGTAAAACCAGAAAAATTCAATGATCACACACGTTTAATACAATGCTCAACCATTAACAAAAGACTGCATTTCACTCATCTCATCACATATGGAACCCAAGCTTTAAGAAGTTATTGTTTACTATCACATTAAGAGAAAGGATGCTTTAAACAATAATCTTTGTTTCAATGATACTCATGCAAAAGAAACACTGCAGGTTGAAGGAAAAAAATGAAAATAACTTCCTAACTAATTAATCCTTAAAATAACTTTAAATATCAGGATTGTGAGAAAGACTACTTGAATTAATTCGGAGGCAGAGGACAAAAATTCAGCAGAAACTGCACAGAAAGGTAAACGAGTGAATCCTCTAGCAGTTCTTTAACACATAAAGCATTCTGAAGCTAATATTTTTTATGCTTCCTCTTAAGTCTCATAAGGCCTAGATTATGGCTAATATCTCATGACCCCAAAAGTAATACTGCAGCAGATATTAAAGCATTTTTTTCAGCTACTTATTCTATAAAATATTAATTGCAAGCCTGTGCATGTGCTGTATATATAGGGTATTAGGTAACTGAGTTCCTGCTCAGTTCTAAATCAATAAAAGATAACATGTACAGCATCAATCATTTTTTACTCTTCCTTTACTACCTAAGAGAAAGATCACTGATGCTTATTTTTCTCTTAAGCAAACAGTCACCAACATCTTTGAAGTTAGGAATTCACTGGCTAGCCTCTACTATAGATTCTTACCGATGAAAGAGAGATTGTTTTCCAAAAGCATTTCTCGGAGCAAGACTTCATGCTCATGCCCAATAGCGCTGATAGCTTTAGGTTAAGAAATACAAGATTACTCTGGAAAATAAGCAACTTCCAACAAATTCCAAATAAGCAAGGTAAAGTAATTAATCATCAAATTTATTGGCCTTCATCAGCATTTCAGAAATGATCAGTGACTTGAGCTCTAACTTCTGAAAATTCTTACAGGGATTTTCAGAAATACGTAGCACTTCCCAAAAATCAGACTACTGTATCAACAGCATACATTTCACAAAATTAACACCCATTAAACCATATTTACTCAGCATAATTAAGGGCAATATCTCCATTTTTTGTTTATTCTCCCCACAAATTTAAAGGAAAGTAGTTAATTACTTTCCAAGTTGCTCTTTACTGACCAGTTTATCAATTCTCCAGTTCAGCAAAGGATGAAAAAAACTTGTTTTATTCTTTACATTCTGAAATAGATAGGCACTACATCCACCTGAAACATCATACTGTAACAAAACAACCTTTTAACTGATTTTTCAGAAGCATGAACTACTGTCAGGGAAGGACCAGGGAAGTAATTCTTCCCCTGTACTCGGCGCTGGTGAGGCCACACCTTGAATACTGTGTACAGTTCTGGGTCCCTCAGTTCAGGAAGGATATTGAGGTGCTGGAGTGGGTCCAGATAAGAGCAACGAGGCTGGTGAAGGGACTCGAGCACAAGTGCTATGAGGAGAGGCTGAGGGAGCTGGGGTTGTTTAGCCTGGAGAAGAGGAGGCTCAAGGGGAGACCTTATCACCCTCTATAACTACCTGAAAGGAGGTTGTAGTCAGATGGGAGTTGGTCTCTTCTCACAGGCAACCAGCAGGAGGGACAAGAGGGCACAGGCTCAAGCTCTGCCAGGGGAGGTTTAGGTTGGATATTAAGAGGAGATTTTCTATGGAGAGAGTAATCAGACATTGGAATGGGCTGCCCGGGGAGGTGGTAAATTCACCATCCCTGGAGGTTTTCAAGATGAGACTGGATGTGGCACTTAGTGCCATGGTGTAGTAACCATGGTAGGGTTGGACTCGTTGATCTCTGAGGTCTTTTCCAACCTGGTTGATTCTATGATTCTGTGATTCTATGAATATTTTATACTGAAGTCCTTTTCCCTTCACTGACAGCCTGTTGATCCAATGTGCTATTCTTAGCAATATGTAGAAAAGTCACCATATTAAGTATTTTTAATGCATTCTCCTGAAGATCAAAGCTCTATTTTGGATGCTTTTAAGAAGAATTCTATGGAACATCACAATAAAACCTCTTACATTAAAAACAGTTAAGTTGCAAATTCTGTTTTGGATAACTCCTGAAAACTGAAACTACAGATCAACTTACCATTAAACACTTAATTTATATCAACACTTTATGGTGAACAACAGAAAAAATAAAAGTTCTAGGGAATCATTTCGTATGTACATACAGCTTTTATCAACTGAAACTGTGTATTATGTTAAACTCTACTAGCATTTACAGAACAAAAAGAACAAATGAAGAACAGCAAAAACCAAGAAAAATACTACAAACAGAATTTATAATGCACCATAAGCAGAAACACTTAAGAGTTAGTCTATAATAATACCTGTTATTGATGTATGGCAATGACCATGGGGCAAAACTTGTAAATAACCTCACAAGCCATTTTCTACTCATGCACTCTAGCAGCCTAGTTTCCCGTAAGCATCTGAACTATTACTGAAAAATAGCCTCTTGGCATTTACAAAGAGGTTGACTTCATACTCTAGTCCATGCATATACAATTAGATAGTTATATTTAAAATCAATATGTAATCCTTCAGAAGACATTATGCTTTTAAAACCTTAACTTTAAATTGATTTTTAACTATTTTATGCACCTGAAAATTAACATCTATTTCAGCAACATACTTGCAGTAATGCACTTACACAGCTTAGTATTAAACTTTTCTGTACCAAAATGGGCTTGAAAAACTCCTCAATATTCTTATCAATGTCACTGTGTATTCAATAACTGATTTGAGCCAGAATCTGAACAGGATATAAAAGCCTTTTCTAGAGTGCAGGCAAGTTATTAAAAACAGTTCATAATTCTGCATATGTGTCATTATTACTTTTAAACCTAACCCTTTCAGAAAAGTACACCCAGATTGTTCATCCACAAAATATTAAACTTAGATTTCTAGATATTAAAATTAGCAAACAACAACATGTTAGAAAGTGCAACTTACTAGATTAATCCACTTTCACAGAGCTTTGTTTAATCTTGTAGATAGGTCACAATGAACACTTAAAATTACAATTAAAACCACAAAATACAAAGACAATTAGAACTCTATCCTGCTGCTGTTAGTTAATGGGAGCAGGGCTGAGGCTGTAGTAGACACCAGACAAGTACTTCTAGTGAAAATAACATATTTTTAAGGAGTGGCAATCACATGTGTTACAAGATGTACTGTTTTCATGTATAACTAAACATCACTGTAGCTTTCCTAACCTGACTCTGTAGAGCAAAATCAAGATCTTCTCCCAGGATGTAAGCAGAGAGTCATGCAAGTATTCTTGAGGACTTGGCAGGGAACTGCCCTATTTGCCTGGCCAGTGATAGCAGGCCATGATTTTGAAATTGCTCTTTGGACAGCAGACTGAAACAGAAGAGCTACTCCTACAGGACTTATATTAAAACAGATTTGGGGTCTCAGCAATCATTACTAACAAATTGTAATCTTAGTTTGGAATAGTCAGTACAGCGTGGAGTTCCCTCAGTGTACCCACTGGATACTGAGGGTCTCTAATTACCACTTCAACACCAAAAAAAAAAACCCTCCCTGAAAATTCAAGCTACATAGGGGGTTTTTTTGTGTGCAGCTAATCTGATTTCCTTTAAGAAGAAGAGAAAATAAAAGAACTGCACTGGAATGCCAGATAGGAGTTTAAAAATCAATCCACCTGAATTGCACTGGAAAACATTTCAGTTAAAACTCATATTCATAATAAAGCAAAGCCATAACGTTGAACACTTATCTATGCAATTTATTAATTTGATCACAGAATAGTTGAGACTGAAAGGTATCTCCAGAGATCATCTAGTCCAACTCCACCACCCCAAGCATGGTCAACTAGTCTTAACACAAAACCAGACATGCATTTCAACTAATCAAAACCAAAGAGGTTCAATCAGGCATATGAATGTGTAGCCACCAAACTGACATCTTCCCGTGGTCCATCTGATTTTTGTTAGTGTAAGAGAAAGCTCTGCAGTGACCCTCTAGCTGATTGAATGTAAAACAGAGGAGTATGCTTTGTGAAGCAGAACTTTATGTCAGGTTAAAGCTAGACACATCTCTTCCACACAGTCTAAGCTCGTCAATTGTGCACCTAAAATTTTATGGGAAAGGATACTGTTTGATGCAGTCCACCAGTGGTCCATAACAACAGTCATTCACAGTACACTGCAGACAAATAAAAGAAGTAGTATACTGATGGGCAACTATAAAACCATTAAAGAGTATCTTAAAATAGTAATTACTTTTCTTCAAAAAGGCTATCAGATGCTGTTCAGATTTAATCACAGAAAACAAAAACTGCATGCTTTTATTCACTATAAAAGCAAGCTATTAAAAAATGAAATGCTCCCCTCACAAATACTGCATTGCCATTTATGGTGCACCCTGACCTCACTTATAGTTTATGATGACAGTAATTAAATGAGGTTTAAAATCTTTTACTCTGCTAGGCAGATAACAGCATTGGCACAGGAAAAAAAACAACCCCAAGCAAAGAAAACAAGAAAAGCGGGATTGATACCTGATAGACTTGATTTGCTAGAACTCCATCTGGAATCAGCGAAGGGTCCCGCAGCATACTATTTATTAGAGTTTTGGAGGCTAGAGAAATAAAAGACCAAAGAGAGAAAAAAACCTGTTAGCTCAATCATCTGCTTGGCAGGAATAGAGATACACTTTTCTAATTAAAATATTGATGTAAATAATTTTGAAAACTACCCAGCCAGGAACTACAAACTTACAAATTCATAGCTACTTACCTATTCTGATACAATTAAGTCTAATGGTCTTGAAACACCAAAGGATTTTATTAGCACAGGGTGAAAGCAGGCCCCTGTTTACTTAGACAAACTGGACAGTTTGTGCTTCTGAAGCATCATGCAGCTTCAAAGGAAAACTGCTTAGCCCAAAGTAAATATAATTCAAAATAACCTCCATATCCTATTAGAACTTTAGGAAGAAGATATGTACAAATTCAAAACAGCCTTTAAAAAAACTTTAAAGACTTGATTCCAGCAAAATGCCTCTAAAACCATCAAACATTTAATTTTACAATTTCTCAGAAAAAAGCCAACACTGCTGCACAAGCTGCCTCCTCCCTGGGAACAACCTTTGATGGAGCTCGGCTGGTGGTGTATTTACACCACCGAATCCTTAAGTGCAGATCAGGCTTGACACTAGGTGGGTTCCCCACTTTGCCAAGGGTTTCCTGTGTGACTTCAGAGAAATTCCTTTAACCTGTGTGCTTCAGTTGTGCAAATGAAGCGAAAAACTACTCTTTTCCTGTTCTGCATCTGTTTTGCTCCAGCTCAGGGCTAAAGCTTCATCATTCTCATCAGTGACTAAAGCCTTACATGACAGTGTGAAAAGGATTCCTGGAACTTGTGACAGGAAACGGATCTGCCAGATAAGCAGTAATGCTACTGCATTAGTGAACGTGCAAACACTTTGCTGAAAATAATGGAGACTGGCATTGTAATCTTCTTCCCAAGTTACCTCTTAAAAGCATCACATTCAGGTGAAAATAGTATTTGAAAGAAAATATTTTATTTATTTATATTT